AATTATCATTAACGCCATTGCCAGGATTTAAGGTTTCACGTTATGCCCAGGCAATACTGATGGTAGCTTCCAGTGCTTGCTGATGAGAGGTTCTGGATCGTGTGGTCCACAAGAGGAAACAAAAGGTCACGTGTGAATTCTACATTTTGAAATTATTTTTTATGTATCTCTTTTTGTTGTTCTCTTTTTGGCAACTTACAAAACCTCTCTTATTTTTTGTGGAAAAGTAAAGAACACTTACCATGGCAAGAACTTTATCCTAACAGAGGATCATTTATTGTGAATTAAGCTATTAATTACAGACTTCCTGTGCCTCATGACTGAAAAAAAAAAAGAGGCACTTCTTAAAATGAAGGTAAAATTTGTTAGTCTTATCCGTCATCCTTTAAACTGTCCTTTCCTTTCTGTGTTAGAAAGTAATTTAAAATTATGAATTAAAAATGTGTCAAATATATAACTTAAAAAATGCTTAGGGGAATTTAAAAACAGATCCAAATAATCATTTCTTTTACATTCATCTAATGAACTTAATTTCCATTATTCATTCCAGTTACTTTTATCTTTGCATTTCATACTGCTATAAATAGTATTATTCAATGTGCTTTTAATTTGGACTCGGTTTTCCTTCCTAAGTATATATTATTTTTAAAGCCTCAAACTCAGTATAGTTCACAGCTTCAAATATTTTATTCTGGCTTCTTTAATTGCTATTTAAAATTTAAAACATTTAGTATAAAATTACCAAGACTTCAGCAAAGGGGGAAAATAATTTGCCCATTTTTTATACATATATATTTTTTCCTATATACAAGGCTTGCTAATCTGTAATCTAACTGACTTAAATAACCTTGATATGGTTATATTGTTGATTTAATTATATCACTTGCTCTTGTGATATCTAGGAGTTTTGGATTTCAGTGAGATTAAAACAGATTTGAAAGTTAGGTGAGTTTAAAACAAATTAAAGAAATATTCAGAAACCTTTGAAGAAAATTATACCCATACACATTTTTTTAAATTAAGCAAAATTCATTATTTTTAAGACTATTGATGTATTTTGCAACTATATAGATTCTTTGTGTTAACAGATTTGATTTTTTAAACGTGCTTTTGTGTAATTCTGCTATTTGGTTGGAATTCTATCACTATTCCTTTCAAAAGGGTACAGGTAATGAAATTAAAAGGAAAGCCATCTAAAATCAAATTTAGTAAATATGAGTCATCCAAATGTTATATTTTACTTAATCAAAAATAAAAATTAAGCATCCATAAATATTTTATATTCTATGTATTGTTGCATAATTTACATAATATAAGGATAGTTTAAAAATTGATAGTTTTATATATCTATTTGAATCTTTACTTCATTTAAAAAATTGACGTATTCAAATTACCTCAATTGCTATGACCTTAGTTATAGTATATATATAAAAATCCAGAAGTTCAGAAAGTATTTTATCAGTTCCATAGAAAATTGAAATTATGTTTAAGATATTCTGAAGATCTGGTACTTAGATATTTGGACAACTCTCACCTCCACTTACTGGTTATTCTTAATGTTAGCAACTCACTTGGTCCTTCTGTAATGGTTCATAGGAAACTCCCCAAGCACCGGATTTAATTGAGTCATTCTATATGGGAGGTCTTGTAGCCACTGCCCTAATGAAAGTCTTACTTTAATTCTGCTGGCCAGTCAGCTGTAGCCAATTGGGCAAGGTTCTAATTGTTCAAAGCGCTATAATTTGTTTGAAGACCCCCCTTAAAACAGGCCTGTATGTGTGAGTCCCTTCCCTTCCAGGCGTTGGGTTATACAGTAGCCCTAGCACTCTTGCTGATTCTTCATCCTCACATTTAGAACAGGAGAGGACCTTAGTGGTAATGTAAACTAACTCCTCATTTTGTCCCAGAGAAAAGATCATTGTTTCACTTACTGATTTTAATCTTCTCATCGAATTCAAAAATTCTGAACTATTATTGATTCCAAGGGTTTCCTTTAAAATATAAAGGATTAAAAAATTGTGAAAAATAGAAAACTTCAGGAGTAATAGCCAACAGTAAACTTTTAGCTAAGCAACTATTAGGGATTAGGGAGAATCCGTACCTATACCATGTAAATAGCACATCACAGATCACTGGGGTTAGAAGAGCAGAAAAGGAGAAAAGGACTCTTTAAGAGAAGGAATCTTATACCAGACCCTCTCATATCTCATCTATCCTTAAGTCAAAGCAAGCGTGCTGATGGAAAAAACCATGAACTCACTATGACATCTTTCATGGTTAATGTTATTAGGGATAATAAAGGCAAATCTATTATAGAAAATTGTTCCTTTGTAGTGAATTGAATTATAAAATGAGGTTATGCTGATTATCACTATATATGAAATTCCAGAATCATTGCGAAGCTGGTGACTTTTTTTTACAGCAGATCCATTTCTGAGCAAGGCAAATCAATTTGCTGTGTGAGATTAAAGAAGAAATTGTCATCTGATTGACATGCTAGTATTTATTTTTATTTTTATCATAGCAGAACTACCTTTCGAAAAGAGACAAAAAGGAAGAAGACACTGGCAATTTTCCATCCACAATGGAAACTTTTTTTTTTTTCCTCACCAAATTGACCAAACGTTTTTGCATTCTAGAGAAGCTATCTATATAACTGTGTATTCTAGTCAGATCAGTTAAAACAAAACTACAGTCTGCAAATGTCTGTTAGGGTGGCACAAGGGCAGTTGACTGAGTTGATTTAACGAATTTTTTTTTTTTTTTTTTTTTTTTTTTTGAGGCGGAGTCTCGTTCTGTCACCCAGGCTGGAGTGCAGTGGCCGGATCTCAGCTCACTGCAAGCTCCGCCTCCCGGGTTCCCGCCATTCTCCTGCCTCAGCCTCCCGAGTAGCTGGGACTACAGGCGCCGCCACCTCGCCCGGCTAGTTTTTTGTATTTTTTAGTAGAGACGGGGTTTCACCGGGTTAGCCAGGATGGTCTCGATCTCCTGACCTCGTGATCCGCCCGTCTCGGCCTCCCAAAGTGCTGGGATTACAGGCTTGAGCCACCGAATTTTTATTATAGGCCTAAGATGCTCTAAATAACATTGTAAATTTGTTATTAATAGATTTAGAGGCAAGATTTTGCAAAATGAGTAAGTCATGGTTACAGTCCTTGAAAAAGTCACTATCTATTGAGGAAAGACAGAAATAATTACAATATGTGGCAATGGTGTTATGTTAGAAAGCTAGAACTTGAAGTGTTGAGTTAATCATTGTGTTTAGGGACTGAATATAGGTATTATTGTACATGTGTAAGGATACAAAGATAGTAAATGCGAACACTGAAATTAGTAGTAACTTTTCTGCATTTTCAAGATATGAACAGATAACATCTATAATTGCTGCTAGAGAAAATTAAGTAATACATTCTTCAGGACAGAATGTGAGTTAGCCAAAGTAATCTATAGATAAAAGGAAAAAAATGATCAAAAAATTATTATTTTGGGACAGAAAGCAGTTGACAAAGCATGATTTATTCACTAACTCATTTTTTTCATTCTTGATAAACCTCTTTAGAGACTTCACTTCCAGGGACCAGGTAAGTAAATGTTCTAAGTGCTAAGAGCGAATATCCCATAATCTTGTATTCTTTTCAAATACCCTGCTGGCCAAACTAAATGGCAATATTTTGCCAGTGAACTGGCACTTCTTATATTCTGGTAACAGAATTAAAAAATTTAAATACTATAAATGTTACAAAATAAACTCTGACACAAAGCTGTATGCAGAGATTCCACTTAGCTTTATCAATGGCAATAATGAAATAGGAGACATTGGTATGGACGAGTTCAATGTGTTTTAGGAAAAGTTGAAGTCTGGTTTCCGTAGGAATGTTTACAATAATGTTAGACTGTGTGTTGAAAGACTATCACAGGGAATACGAAGTAAGGTATCAGATTAAATACAAATGTCTTATTTGTTCCCACCTGATATTTTATTGGAGTTTAGAAATGGGATTTTTAAAACCACAAGAGCAGAAGAACTGAAGAAAATGTAAGAAAAAAAACAAATTTTGAAATATAGAAAATAAATGACTTACCATACCTGAGAAAGCTGTCAAGTATTTGTCAGTGGAAAAATTGAAAACATATGATTACAGTGCAGTGACCTGAAAATATCAAGGAATCTGAGCCACCAGATTCGGGAGGGAATGGAAATGAGTTTCAAGATGAGGAGGATGAATTATTTAGCATGTTGATTAGGTATTTAAGAAAGGTTAGTTGAAACCTTGTGTTTGTCAAATTGCCTTAGCAAATGGTAAATGGCATTTTGAAAAAAGACATCAATAGAATAGAACAACAACGAAACCCCACCCAGTTTAATTCAGTTCTGCAGTGAGTCAAAATGCTTCTTGGCTTCATTGAAGACCAAACAATTAATATGTCCCTGTCAACCAGTTTTCAAAAGTATTATAAGTTTCTGTTATTTATGTTAAAATTTGGTATGGTGGCAATGATTTTACATATGTGAATAATTGGATTATGGATGAAATTATTTTGCAGGTATTCACAATGGTAGAAATACACAATAATGATTTCTTTTTGGTTTTTGGAAATTTGAAAGCACATTTCTTCACACATCCATTCAATAAATGTTTACTGTACAATATACTAGGAACTGGGTGATTTGGGGAGCTAATGAACTATGTAAACGTGGGCCAGCTTTTCAAATTGTTCTTAGCCTAACTGGGAAGTCAGATGCTAACAACAACTAATACAATATGTGGGGGAAACATCTATTTTGAGTGTGCACACATACTTCGGGAACACTGAGGAAGGATAATTGTTTCTTCACGGGAAGGAAATTTACAAGCGTGGATTAGCAATGCCCTCCAGTCTCTATCCACATCTACCCACAGGCACCAGGCTTTGAACTATACCAGTGATTTACCTGAGAGCTTATGTTTGCTCATCCTGTGCCTATGCTTGCACTGAGCCTTTCACTTACCTCTTTATAGGATGATGTTATGAAGACTCAGGCTTAAGACTCAGATTAAATATGTGTTGAAAAAATAAAACAAATCAACTGAGAAACACACCTGCAGTGAAACAAAGGTATGCTATTTTGTATAAGTTAAATGGTCTTGACTATCAGTGTTCTAGAAATTATTTTTCTGCCTTTAGGGTGGGGATTAATGTTGAAGAGAAAAAGATTTGCCTGGATAGAGACTTTTAGGAGGCCCAAGACAGTCACAGAGCGCTAGAATTCTAGAGTTCTTAGTGGTAAGGTCTTTTGTGTGGTAAGGAGCCATCCGTGGTACAGCGGGGGCATATATTCAAGAAAAACTTAAGAATGGTGATTTCTTCCCAGGGAGAGAAATGGTGCAAGTCAAAATTCTAGAATTCTGACAAAGATAACAAAGCAACGGATCATGAATATTAAGTGAAGAAAGTAATTTTAGAGGAAGAGCTGATTTCTGAGGAAAAATAAAAATTTGGTTTGCTGATAATATATGAAAAGGTTGATTGATTATATAGATGAAAACATGTAAATTAAAATACTTTTTCAATTTTAAAAAGTGTATAAAGTATCTAGATTGGGTGCTTATATTTAGAGGAAAGAAATAATCCATACTGCCTATTTATTTATTTATTTTGGAAAAAAAAACAGTGAGCATTTTGGGTGTGTTTGTGTGTATCAGATAATCAAATCAGATAAAATGTACTATTGACGAAAAATAGTACATTATTGAGCCCAGTAACCTTGCTAAACTCTGATGTCGAAGTCCGGGAGAAAAAAAAGCATAGGTTAAGAGGCAGATTTAGTACTATTGGTGTGTGCTTTTATGTACATAAATGGTAACTTCCCAGCAATTCCTCAAAAGTAGGTCTAATGGGTGTGATAAAGCGGGGAGGTAGATATTGCTGAAAGCTACTTTGGTCCTTTGGTTTGCTGTGTTATTGGACCACTCCTATTTTACTTGTTTCGTACAAAACGTATCAAGGTTGTGAAAACATTAAGGGTATCAGTCCCCTGTGGACATTGTCAGAAAGAAATGAACAGTGATCTCTCCCTCTCTCTTCTCCCCCTATATTGTGGTAAAGAAATATGAGGTCATAGATTCTGAAGGATTCAAAAATATATACTTACTGTCATTGCTTATCAAAATGCTAATAAATCAGTCCTTAAACATCTAGTCTTTAACAAATTTAATATGCATGTTAGTGCTGAGTAGATGGCTAGGGTGGAGTAATTCCAAACATCATGTGCCTCTATATGTGTGTGTGTGTGTGTGTCTGTGTGTGTGTGTGTCTGTGTGTGTGTGTCTGTCTGTGTGTGTGTATGACCAAAAGGATTCCTGAAAGAGTGTGATTCAGTTTTCCTGATTTCTGTCTTCTGGTACATTGGTTCGCTGGATCCACAAAACTGAGAATAAGACTCGGGACCATGGTGCAGCCAGGTGCTCTCCTTAGATAAAATTTCTATCTTGTCTCTAACACAGCTTACATAATTTAATTTTTCTGACAGAGTATTTTTTCTTGATGTGATTTCCACAGAATGTTAAAGCAGAATGGAAATAAAAATGTTTAATGTTTATTCTTAAATTACATCTTCAAAATGAGTCATAACTGTTTTTGTTTACACATAGATCTTTGAGATTCATTGAATTATTGAGGTCTAAAAGTAAATTACAATGCTTATACTAAAGCAGCTTGTTTTTCTGAACATCTCAGAGCTGACTCAGAGACACTAGGGATTGAGGAGGTAACAAACTTAGACATGAAAAAATTAAGAACAGGAAAAGAATCAGCTTGAATTACCAGATGAGAGAGAGAGGAAGTCACCAAGGGAGAAAACAGGAAAAAGGAGGTGATACCAAAGCAGAGATGCACTACAATGGACCTACACAGAGAGAACAGGATCTAAGACCAGTCTAGCATCCTTTTTTTTTAATTTCAATTTTTTTTTATTTCCATAGGTTTTTAGGAAACAGGTTCTGTTTTGTTACGTGCATAAGTTTAGTGGCGATTTGTGAGATTTTGGTGCACCCATCACCCGAGCAGTATACCCTGTACCCAATTTGTAGTCTTTTATCCCTCATCCCCCTCCCACCCTTTTCCCCAAGTCCCCAAAGTCCATTGTATTATTCTTATGCCTTTGCATCCTCACAGCTGAGCTCCCACTTGTGAATGGGAACATACAATATTTGGTTTTCCATTCCTGGGTTGCTTCACTTAGAATAATGGTTTACAATTCCATCCAGGTTGCTGCAAATGCCATTATTTCGTTCCTTTTTATGGCTGAATAGTATGTGTATATATATACACACATATATACACACTATGTATACACATATATTTATATATGCATATATACATATATACACATATATTTTTATATGTGCATATACTATATATGTATATATAGTATACATATGCATATATACATATATACACATATATACTATATATGTGCATATACTATATATGTATATATATACATATATAGTATATGCATATATACACATGTATATGCCTATATATACTATATACATATGTGTGTATATACATGTGTGTGTATATACACCACAATTTCTTTATCCACTCATTGATGGACATTTGAGCTGGTTCAATATTTTTTTTTGCAATTGCAAATTGTGCTGCTATAAACGTGTGTGCAAGTTTCTCTTTTGTATAATGATTTATTTTCTTCTGGGTAGATACCCAGTAGTGTGATTGCTGGATCAAATGACAGCTCTACTTTTAGTTCTTTAAGGAATCTCCCCACTGTTTTCCACAGTGGTTGTACTAGTTTACATTCCCATCCACAGCGTGAAAGTGTTCCCTTTTCACTGCATCCTCACCAACATCTATTATTTTGTAGTTTTTTGATTATGGCCATTCTTTCATGAGTAAAGTGGTATCACTTTGTGGTTTTGATTTGCACATCCCTGGTAATTAGTGATGTTGATCATGTTTTCATATGTTTCTTGGCCATTTGTGTATCTTGAAAGTTACAGAGAAATAGTAGCTTTCTCTTGATAGACAAAGATGGAGTGAAAGAGAGAATTGCTATTTAATTAGAATTACTGATTTTATCCTAATTATTATTTTTATTTTTTCCCTAAGAATACTATCTCTTACTCAGTATTTGTAGATATCAGGTTGAGTGGTTTTAGACCAAGCAGTAATTGTGAGAAAGAGATAATATTGCAGCTATGGAAGTTGGCAAGGACCTGAAGCACACCACTAACAATGTCAAAACTAGAATTTCTCCACGGTTGGATAATCATGTATGTGAGGTGATTCTGTGGGTAAAAATTTAATATCTACTGATCTAAACGCTGGTATTTTTAAAAAACAAGATTGCATTTGATAGGGAGTAATTAACTGCAAATAATAAAAATAAAACACAATCTCCAAAAAAGAATCGTCAAGTTGCAGAAACACACAGAACTTTGATTAGAAGATTAGATATATCTTCACTTCATACATTCCTACAGAATCATTTTATAGCTTTAAAAATTTTTATAACAGTTTGTAAAACATTTATTTTTATGCCCATAAGATTCAGAAATATGCTATAGATGCTCTGTGAATTTTTTTTTTCTCTTTAGAATGCCAAAGGTAAGAGGTACATGTGTTAGTCTTAATTTCCATCAATATCTATTAAGCATCTACTAGGTATCTTTAGTGTTGGGCTGGTGTATAAAATTACCCATGTTTGAAGATATTGAACTTGAATTGCTGAATCACTTGATAAAAACATCCAGAAAGTTTCATGGAAACTGGATACTCCAACTTTATTCTAGATGGGCTTCACTTACCTTGACTAAATTGATTCATTAATTTAAACTACCAATCTGTCTGAATTGTTTTCATTGTTGAATGGAAAGGATTTTGAATTAAGTAATTCTAACCATTCAATCATGCATAACAAGTGAGATAAATTAGATTTTATATATACAGCATATTTTATTAAATTTTCAATTATAACTACTACTCAATCTAACTATTGCATTATTGATTGTTTTCTGATGTTTCAGAAACACCAGAGACAAGTTATGTCCAATGGCTAACTTTTATATTGATTTAACACTTTCTAAAATAAGATTTAAATGAATTGAATAAAAATATGTAGACCAATTTTGACTTACAAGACAAATTTAATTTGAAAACTATTTTTGAAAATCAGAATAGCCAGTTTTGTATTTAAAATGCATATTCATAATATATACAGACAGTATTTATTCAATTCACTGTGACAGGACATTTATTTTTACAACCATGATTATAAATATTAATTTTAAAATTAATGTACTCCTTAAGCAAGATATATACTTGATAGACTTTGAATAGAAGATAGAGATTGCAATATATTAATCTTACATATCCCACTAAGATGGAAGCAGTGATCTAATAAAAAAAAAGTATTGTAACTCTTTTGACTTGCCCTTTACTTATTTAGAAAATAAAAATCAGTGTTGAAATGCAAAAACCATATAAGTAAAACATTATTATAATCAACTTGCTTTTCGATAACACTGACATCTTGACTAAGAAGGTAAAATGTTTCTTATGTCCATTTGGTAGCAATTTTACTCCTGTAGAAAAGAGCTGTGGCTCACTGGTCATGCCATTATTGAGTATGCAGGGACTTGTTTTCTCAGCATCCTACAGAATCTTATATGTACCCACTACAGTATATCATCTTGATATGGAGTGCATGAAACATGAAATTTCAGGAACCTATTCAGGATCTGCCCTCCAAAGTTAAAGACAAAGTGCAAGTCCTCATGATTCTCACCACTTATAATGATGCATGAAGACTGGCAGGTCACACTGTGTGATTGTCCATTTGAGTTACTATAAAGGAACACCTGAGACTGGGTAATGTGTAAAGAAATATATTTGATTTACAGTTCTGCAGGCTGTACATGAAACATACTGACAGCATCTGCTTCTGGTGAGGGTCTCAGAAAGATTATAATCATGGCAGAAGCCCAAGGGGGAGCGAGCATATGAGAGAGGGAGAAAAAGAGGGAAACGGGGAGTGTCCCATACTCTTTCACCAGCCAGATCTTGCATGAACTAGCAGAGTGAGAATTCACTCA